GGGGTTGACTCTGACTTTGATAGTGCCAGCATTGCAATCCATCATCTGTCTGTGTGTCTGGATTGTGTGTATGTATGTGTTTGTATATAAAATTTTATATATATTCCACACCACTGTCTCACCCCAAGCCCAGAAGCAGCAACTGAACCATTATGGGTCACCTTCCCTTAGCAGCTGTTTGTGTGCTTGTGGATCTCTGTAGCTTTTAGTCCTTATAATGACCCGTTTGAGGCGTCCTTGGGAATTTAGGCAGCTGCTGCTGTTCTGCCCTGGTTTCTCTTGTTCTCATTCTGTTGTACAAGCGCGTGTTGCTGCCAGGCGTGTAACTGGCCTCGCTTGCCCGCACGGACCATTTCCCCACGCGCTGAGATGTACAGTGGGGGCAGCACCTTGTGCATGGTGGAGGAGGGTCAGTCCAGGGTTAACGTTTGGGTATTTTGTGGGGTAAGGAGAGGTGTGATGATGGTGCCCTCATTAACCTTGGACAGATTACAGGAGCACGTTTAAAGACCGCTTTGGGAAATGTACTGCGGCTGTTATCCCCCATCTAGGAATGCTCATTTGTCTGGTGGGCTGTAAACTTCAGTTATATTCTGGTCAAAGGCTTTGATCTCTCAAAATGGCCTTGGCACTTTAATGGCTTGTGTTTCTGGTATCTTGCTTATGCTCAGGTCACCTCCTTCTTCCCATCAAATTATGAAGTTTGCAGGTTGTTGACGGTTTACAACAACGCACATTAGGGCCCCTGCTGACTTGATAGGGAAACCCTTGGACTAAATATCCACGTTTGGTTTAGTGTTAAGTTTTTTAGTTTTTCTTTTTAGAAAGAACTCTGGGAAAAGTCATTCATTTTTCTGTCACAGTAGTTGTCTGCTTGTAAATATGCCTGGTCCATGGCCTTTGGTCAATGGACACTTCTAGAATATTCTTGAGTGCAGTTTTTTTCTACCCTAGCTATGCAGGCATGTTGCTTATAGCAGTTTCCATACCAAGACATACATGGTGAACCATTGCATTGTTACATTCTCCCCACTGTCTTTCCAGTGCTTCAGGGATTTTATGTATTCACTTGCTCTCTCCCACTGGAAGCCTGAAAGTAATTCAGTCTCATCACTGATTGTACCTGAGGATTGCTATGCCAAAACTTTGCATCTAGCAGATTGTGTAGCTGCTAAGGACACGCCGTTCTAATCTGAAATTCCCAGGAGGATCTAATGCTGAATTAACCTTAAAAAAGGGTTCTTTAACCTGAATACTTCCAGTGAAATATCCAGCTGCATAAAGATGGCTGTGCTTGTAAGCTACTTTGAATAAAAGTGTCAGCTAAACAAATATGTATACATTTAGTAAGGAGGAAGAGTGTCAGAGAGAGATCAGAACTGTATTGTTTGGATTTTGCTTAGCAGTACCCTGTCTGCATGGAGAGTGAAATGAAAAGTGTGTAATTTGCCTCTCCAGGGAGTGTGAGATGCAGATCAATAACTACAGGCACAGTTGGTCAGAGGCTAGATGTCTTCTGTGACCTTTCATTGGTGGAGTGTGTCTCTTGCAAGTCCCCCAATGAGATGGGCCTGATGCTAATGAACTAATTGCCAGCGTAATTATTTATTGATGTTTGAGTAAAAGGAAGGGGGGGGGGGGGTGTGTGGAATTATGTTGCTGTTTAGCGGTCATCATATACAGCTGTATTTGCTGTGCCCTACGGTGCGTCGGGGAGGATCTGTGAAGCAGTATTCTGCTTGCTGATGTTCGAAGAAGTCCACATCTGGCAGGGAGGCCTTCGGCGCCAGGGCCCAGCTCGCGGTGCCTGGGATGTGCGGCCGACCGTGGGAACATGCAAAAGAACACGTGGCAGCTTCATGCCGACACTCTGAGTGACACGGTGCTGCTCCCAGAGCTGAGCTGTGTGAGGGACAGCATGGAGTTTCCTGTGCTGTGTGGGGAATAGGACACGAAACAGAAATGTCCTTAGTGACAGTGATGGCATGCAGGGGTTATCATACGCAGAAAGAGAAGCCTGAAATGTACATGTGCAAAATCTCTGGTTTATCGATGAAAACTTGATAGGAAAAAAATGTGCATATTAATGGAAATGCAGGGGCATGTGTACATAGCATTTTGGACAGAGCGGTGACACCCATCGTAAACAAGGGAAATGCAGGTAAAGCGGCCAAATCACTGCTTGCATGCCAACAGTTTGTATTGCCGAGCTGCACTTTGACGTGACAAACAGTAAATCTAACTGTCAAGTGGGATTTATTGATTCTTCCATTGATTTATGTAAGCCTAAGACTACATGTATTTGCATTGGCGAATTTAATTTGCTCTTTCAAATATTACGCCTTGTCACCTTTTCCCATGAACGGAACATATATGTAACTGTCACTAGTTGCACTGAGATTAATAAGGTTTATCTTATCTTATTTTGCTAATTATGATGACTGGCTTATGAGCGGATTCTTCTGTCATTCCTCTGTACACCTACCGGGTCTGACTGCTGTTTGCTTTCTGACGACGGGCACCTACAAGAGTGAACTGGCATACTGATTGGGGATATCTCACTGAGCTTTCAGCTCCTTCATGCCTTCCGTGTCGGATGGCTTAGCAATACTAGCCAGGGGCTACATCACGTTTCCATATGCTGCGGGTGAACGGGCAAATGTAAAAACTAATGTCCAGTTTCCTTAATGTAATCAGTGCCGTCGACTGCACTCACATTGCAATAA